TTGAGGGTGAAGAAGGGAGTTACTTTGAGGACGACCAGGGAGGCTACGGCCAGCAAGAGCACCGTGGTGGCAACCGTGGAGAAGAAGATTTCTACAGTGCGGACGAGAGCGACAAGCAGAACTATCAAGATCACCACCGGACCAGCCAGCCAAAGAAGAAGAAGTCAAAGGCCTCATCTGTCTCTGTGAGTACTGCTTTGGCATCCTCAAGCTCCCAATCAGCAAGGTCGCACTCATCCCAATCCGGCAGCAGCAGTCGCCACAACAATGATCACGCTACCAAACGCCAAGGCCACACTTCCAAATCCCGTACCGAACGATCCGGATCCGGACGGCAAAAGTCCAAAAAATCCAACAGGCCACCACCGGAGTCTCCACGAGCACCTGGCAAACCATTATCCAAGCAGGTTCATTCTGGGAAGGAAAAGCGTCGCACATCCCATCTTGATAGTCCAACCATGAGTGGAAAAGGAGGAGGAACAAAGAAGAAAGCAGCCACTCCCCAGCAGAGCAAACGCCACCAGTCTCGTATTATTGGTAGAGACAAAGATAATCATGAAAAGCATGCCGCATCTCTCAAAGATCATGAGAAGCTCACTTACTACATTAGCTTGTATGAGGAGGAGAAACAGAAGAATTAGGAAGCCGACAAGGAGCAGCCTGATGAGGAATGGGAACCTGACAACTTCGATCTGGAAGAGGCCCTTGGCAACAACACCAAGGGGAGTAATGATTATATAGCGGCTTCCGGCTGTTTCAAGAAGAATACCTGGATTGACAAGAAGTTTAGCAGCGAGAAATTGGAGGACGCCATTGCCTATCTTGTCCTGGATCGACTGGGCAAGAAGGCCTTCTTGTTGACCGGCGACCGTAAGAAGGACAAGGGTAAGTTCTCGCTACTCGATCGGGAAACTTTTGGTTGTCTAATTGCCCAGTGCACCTGACCAATCTGGAACCGTTGTTCTTCTCTTTCTTTACAGTGATCAAGGAAAGGCGCGCCGCATGGGTTGCCCATTGGAAAGATGCTATCACAGCAATCATGAACGAGCAACGCAACTTCGTCGTGAACCAGATGTACATCAAGACTGAGGACTTTTGTGCTGCACATGGACTCGACAAGATGCCAACTCCGGAACAGCTCAAAGCTGTGGTGATGCGGGAGGTTCCTCTTGAAGACCTTGCCCAAGATGCCAGTGCACAAGAAAAGGCAGCGCGTGAGGTAATCAAGCTGCATTCTTCCCTTTACACGGAGAAGCTTTTGCCATGTGTTGCTCGTGCATCCAGCTGGTTTAGGGAGTCAATCCACCATAACCAGTTGATTAGTGTGGCCAAGTGGAAGGGAAAGCTGTGTGTACCTCCCGGATCTGAGGCAATGACCCTCCTCATCTACGAGAACTCCTACACCAGATGGAACCTCTGCTTCCAGCCTGGGAACAATGACTGTGGCAGAAAGAAATGGACTGCTCCCAAGAGCAGCAAGGACCTGGAAACAAAAAAATTTGCTACCAAGTACTCAAACTCCAAGGTGGGCAATGCCAAGTATGGAGGTTGGTCCAATGCAGGCCGAAGGCGCTACAATGCCATCAAGCTTGAGGTTCAGGAAGCCCGTGCCAAGCCCAATGCCCAGGATGCAGAACAAAAAATGCTGGAATGGATGTTGCAATATTGTGGAAAGGAAGACCACGAGCCCGATCCGGATGCCACGAACAACAAGAAGAAGAATGGCAAGCGTTCCTACGATGATCTGGTAGACTGTTACTAGGGTCCTTCCAGGTTGTCAATTGGCAGCCAAGGCCCCATTGAATGGGAAGCCCTTGGCCGCCTTTTGATTCCCCTTAGTGCTTTTTGGCAGGGCTTTTGTGAGAAATTTGTTGCGCAGTTCTCTCTGTTCGGAAGCCTTCCGGTGCTTTTTCGGTACCCATTGCCTCCGTTTCCTTTTGCTGATCTTGTTAATGTGGTCGGTGGTGGTTGCCCATCTGGTAGCCTTTTCACCCCCTTTTCACCCCTTTCACCATGAGGATCTTTTACGGTGATCCTCTGTTTTGGTGACTCAGTACTGCTCTATTTGGATTAGCGTTAACAATCTAGCCTTTTGATATTCCCACTCTTATCCTAGTCTTATCTCGTTTTTGCTGGTTTTATTTGAAACTTGGCCACCTGCAGGTCCCGTTTTGGTAGGTAACACCTTTGCGATTAATAGCCCCTCTGTGCAGGATCTATTGTTGTTGGGAATTCATTCTTCATGTTCTGACCATCCAAAAACCGATGGCGATGTGACTTCTTTTTAGTAGATAATGACTTAACGGTTGGATACACCAATGGGCACAAAGGGTAACATACCACGTACTGAAGTTGTTTCCCCTGCCAGTAGTAGATTGTAAAGTACGTCACTTCCCAACCTGGAGCACCGGTTGCCTAATTGGAACCTTGCACTTGGTTCGGAAGGAGAGGTTGGGATGTGCTTTCCAAACGAGACCTGAGGTCTCGTTTTCAGAATTACCTACAATTGCGCTTCTTAGATGAAGAGAGACCACATGACAGCCATGGAACATTTTACAGCAAGGTCATCCAAGAAGCAACATTGCAAGTCAGACTTGCCTCGACAGAAAACACAATCAGCGGCCATGGCAAAAGGGCAGGAATGGTTCAAGTTGTGCAATAAACGAGACGTTGTATGACAGAGCACGGGCCAAACGCAAAGTGGTGGCTCAAGGGAAGTGCCTATGAATGATGCAAGATGGAGTTTGTCTGCTACAACTGTTGACGACCGATCAGTTGCTAGACCAACAGTGTTCCCATGCTGATTCAACCAACAGCAGCAGCAACAACAAGCTTGCAAATGCCAGCCAGCAATTGTTATGCAATCGACCGCTACCATTGCCGACTGCCGATCAATTGCTACTACTACATGTACTGCCATTGCCAACTAATGAAACTACCATTCTGATTGCCAACAATTTCTGGATGAACTGACTGTGGCCGCGGCGGCCGCATCTACACAATAGCATTGTTTGCTTTTGAAAGCACTGGATTAACCAATACATAGTGAAATTGTTCTTCCATCTTGCCAAATCCACCAGTACAAGTCAACAGCAATGCAGGAAACTGGGTACCGATAAAGAAATTACCAACCAAACATTAGCAACAACAAAATCCGATACCTCGACCATGAGTATATCTAGAGCCACAGCAAGTGAAGCAACGGCAACAACAGGAGCAAGCAGCACCATGGCAAAGAAATTATTCTATGGCCCTCACAGCTCGATGAGAGCTCCAGACGCTCGTGACTGCTCAAATTTTCAGCCACAAATGGATTCGATTCTCACGTAATCGGTATCTGGTACGATTTCCAATAGATAGAAGAAAGATCTAACCCTTCGCTCCTGTTGAGTGCTTTCGCTTCTCAGTCATTAGACACTCATTATCTTGTTTCCGATACCGTAATGTCGGCACCATACGCTGGGTCTCTGCAGAACACAGGAGTAAAACATTCCCAGGCTGGTATGATTCAATGAGGATGGCTTTGAGTTCTGCACCGGAGACGCCCTGATTGACTGAGGCTTGGATAACAGAGTAGAGGTGCGATCAACTCGACTGAGACTCTCAGTTCCGCCACGACACTTGATACCGGTAGCAGTCGTTTGATTGATCGGCATAGTTCGCCAGAGAAGGATCCAATGCTTCAGTCCCATAGTAGTAGTGATAGTCCTGTAGTTACGTACAAGTAGTTCTGCAGTAGCTTCTCTCAACTTGCATTATCTGATATCAAGGATACTCCTACTGATAACCGTACTGTTACGGATCGATTGGCTTGGATAGCTTGGATAAAGAATCAAGGCATACTCCTATCAAAGAAGAATCCAACGCATTGATCCCGTACTGTATCATGTACTCGCATTATCCAGCCACAAGCATTCTCTCGCTCACATTATCTCTCCACGCTCAGTCAAAACAACACAGGACAATGATGAGGATACACCGACAATGAGGATAGAGGAATCGAAGCTACCAATACAGCAACAACCAGAGAAGCAACAAGGATGAAATAGCTCCGCCAGCCATTGGTGATGGTGTTGGAATGTTGCGTTGTCTCTTTGGTGTGTACCGAAACAACAACAAGACAACAATAAAACCAACAACAACAAACAAGGAAGAGGAAAAGGCCAAGGAACCAGGTGACCTTTCTGTCTTGTGGTTTTGATTCAAGAAAGCCTCTGTCTCTTCAGCTGTCTCTTCAGTAGCACTTCGTGTTGTGGCTGGGGAGGAACGTGGGAACCATCTGCAGCACTGACAATCATTATAGCTCATCGTTGCATCCCCGTTTCAGGGTTTGGTAGAGTGAAAATTCCATTACCAGATGTAGATCACCCCATCTCATTTTCTACCCGTAGCTTTTTCTCTCTTGCTTGTGATGTATCTGTCTATCCTTGTCTTCTCTGCGTAGAAAGTGTAAAGAGCATGAGTTAACATGGCCATGCCTAGGGCATTCCATTGAAAAGCCACCGGATAAAGATCACTAAAAAATGTCTTTGAACTGTTTCTTGGAGTGTGAGGTGCTGCAATAATTTGGATCAAGTAGCCCCTTACAAACCCCTTCATTAAGTCGTGAGGAAACCTCACGGATGACATTCCTAGCTAGTAGAGCTAGTAGAGCGGTACGGTCGTGCTCCCACCGGCATCACATGAGTGCATCATTGATGTTTCTTGTCCGTCTTGTCGGTCTTGTGGTCTTGTCAGTGGCAGGTTACTTGTTCTTTGGCTGGATGGGAAGGCAGCCAAGGCAATGCTAATACTAATACTAATACTAATACTAATACTGTAGACTTGAACAAATGGATGGATGAGTCTCTCATTTATTTAATGAAAGAGAGTGAGGAGTTGAATACGAACTCTCTGTTTTGCTTCTGTGGTCAGTGCGACAAAAACTCACAGAGTCTACCAGACGGACAAGCAGAGGGTCCCTCATTGCCAGTTGTTTTCTTCAAAGCAACAACAACAACATGCCACCTGATGATGATGACAAGCCGAAAACCACCGAGCAAGATGGTGACACGAAAGCATCTTTGGCTACCCCCTTGCGGACTTCAAGTTTCCAGAAAAGAAACAAAACGAAAAAGGCAACCACGACAAAGGCAACCACGACAACAATAAATACCAATACCCTCCAAAAGTCTACCTCTCGTATCTCTCAAGGAAGGATTGCAAAAAAAGGCCACCTCGTGGACACTTGCTTCTTGGGTCAAGTTGGCATTGACACTGGATGGTCGCGACAAAATCACCAAGGTCTTCCAGTACTCGGCACGCATGTTGGCGTGGTGGTTTGCGGGACAGACCAACCAAGTGAAACGGTTCAAGGCGGTCCAAGCCAGTTTGACCACCAGGCGCAAGGCATATCGGTTGGGACGGTCCTTGATTGAAATTCAAAAGATTCGAGACTCGGGCGTGTTGGAACTCTTTTTCGATCCAACAACTTCAGGCAAGAATGCCAAGGCGGACCCGGCTTGGAAGATCATTGGCAGTGCATTGAAAATGATTGGTTTGCTGGGATTTTGGGCGGGTGATAACGTCAACTTTTTGACGGGCAGTGGACTCTTCGATGACTATCGAGTAGAATCACAAAAAGAACGCATCGCACGGCGGAATCAACTCAAAACACAAGCCAATCTCTTTGCCAATCGATTCTACTTTTTCGGTGCCGTGGCAGGTCTGGTCACCAGCTTGAGGGTCTACTTGACGTTTCGTCAAACGACACTCCAAGCGGCACAGGAACGACTTGTGGAGGCTACAAGTCGAGTAGAGGAAACCTGTGACAACGATGATGATGAGCACACCAAGAGCAAACAGTTGTGGAATGAAGCCAAACAGGCCATGGACGTGGCAAAAGAGAAACAGTTCTCCATCTTTGTCACACTGCTCAAGGTGTGTGGCTGCCATGTGATCCAATTAGCACCGTTGCTTTGTGCTCACTAACCTCTTTGGACTTACTTGTTCCTCCTTCCTTTGTTTAGAGTTGCATGGACGTGGTGGTCTTTAGCAACAACCCAGGCATTGACCTCCACAAAAGGTTCCGAGGAAAGAAGAATCATGAAGGATTCCATTGTGTGTGTGGGCTCATCTCGGCCACCACTGTACTCTACAACAACTTTCCCAATGCCAAAAAGTAGACTAGCTAACTAGTCACAACATCGAATCTCAAGGAAGCAACGTAACGCATCGCAACCCAAGGCAACGCAACTTGGGAACCTTTACAGAATCTCGTACCATATCGGAACTGGCAGTAAAGCAAACAAATACCATAGTGCCGATGGGTTACACCTGTACCGGCACCATCAATTTTCCCAAGCCACTTATGGCACTCTTATGACATACCATGTACCGGTAGGTACACAGTGTATTGGTACAGGTACTAGTACTACGTAAATCATTCAATCTTACTACTAGACTACTTGACAGTACTAATAGTCTAGTAGTTTGTTTTTAACACGTTTAACACGAGCTTCGTGTGACTACCCCCACCAAATTCACCACAACACCGAAAGAGCACCAATGGCAACAACAACAACTGTGGGGCAAACCAAATGGACTACACCATCCTTTAGAATGAGGATCCCCATCATAGCTTCACATGAAAATCTGAGTTGTGATGTGCGGGAGCCTATCTAGGTATCAAGCTCCTCTGGGTTGTTCATGGCCTCCTTGCCAGTATGAATGGTCTTGTGGAGGAATAAAGAGCCAGGAACAAGCCTCAAGACATGTTGATGACGGCAACAAGTCTGGTTGTTGTCTGCAGGCGCCATGCCGTCGTGCCGTCCTCAATGGCTAGCTATCTAGTCTCCTGCGGTGGCTCCTGCTGTTGACTGCCGAAGAAACTTTTAGTCGCAGAAACTTCTGCCATGGTCGTCCTTCGTCCTTCCAAATTGTCGTCCTTCGAAGTATCAGTGTCGCGTTCCTTGGATACAGCGGCAAAAGGGGACACTCAGTCAACACCAACACCATGAGCAGCGACAAGCGGTCGTTGTTTTCGTCTTGTTGATTGAATCATTTCGTTGTAGTAGTTGCAGTTGCAGTTGCAGTTGTCGTGTCCAGTCGTCTTGTTGATCTTGTCAAATGGCTCTTGGTTTTTGACTCCGCCATGCGCCTTGGCTCTCCCATCGCGGTGATAACAACCTGCCGCATTATCCTTCAAGTAGATACCAAGCCGGCACCGTAACAAGAAGCAACCATAGCGCCTTCGGTCTCCCACTTAGCAACAATAGCGCCATGGTCGTCTTTCGTTCCATCCACGATGAAAACTCGACAACACGAGCGACATACCGCCTTGAAACTCGACTCCGCCGTTGTTTTCCTGTTGCTATCTCCATCCAGCCGCAATATCCTTCAAAGCTATCTAGACGACTTCTACCCTTGCTTTGATACCATAAGATAAGCTTTGGAGACCGCTCCAGTGTGGTAATAGTGGTATCAAAAAAAAAAAATAACGAAGTTTTATTATTTAGGCTGCACCTCAATAGACCACCCGCTGAACGGAGCCATATTGAACCGGAGTACCTCAGACGTACAAGGACGCCCACATAGGAACCGGCCTAGTGTGGTAATAGTGGTATCAATAGTAGTGGAAAGTCTTCTCTTGGCTTGCCCCATTCGTCGTTCTTAACGTGAAAAGTGGTGTGTCGGTGGTTAGGGTTAGAATGGTTGGTTGGTTGGCGGCACAGTGCCACACCGAGAGGAGGATGGGCGGCAACAAGGCAAAACCGCAAAAGGTCATCGGCCGTGAAAAGCACAACAACACACAAAAAGACCGACCGATCCATCGGCAACAACAAAGTTCCGGTAGCGAGTAGCGCCGTTCGTTCGAAAGACAAGGACGCCATCGCCCTCTTCATTTGGTGACTGCTACAGCAATGTGGCTTGGACTGTCACATGATGGTGCGGAAAGTGCGTGAGGCTCCAAGGAGATCTCAGCCAGCCAAGTTAGTGAAAAGAAGATGTAATTTTTTATTTAAAAAAAGGAAACCAGTTTGATGCCAAATAGACAGTTTTACTCTACAGTACTAGCTAGTGTAGGTAGCCAGCCACCAATATGTACCAGGTACGAGTACCAGGTAAAGTACCGGTAGCAAATGACAGGAGAGATCTCAGCCAGACTACTACAGTACATGTATTACGGTAGCACAACAACACTCCCCTCAATTCTTCCACCAACCCCAATGGCATGGTGCTTGCCTGCATGAAGTTGTCATCGGCCCATCAATGCATTGACCATACCAGACTGCTGTACCTGTATGTCATAAATAGTACAACTGTTAAGTGTCAAGGACTTTTTGAAAGAAAGGTGTATTCATTGGCACTTGCTGGAATAGCCAACAAACCAAAAGAGAGCTACAAGTATTAATGTTACTACTAGTAATCCCCTCCATAAATTCAATGATTCCTTGTACCAGTGGCTTTATTAGTTTAAAATCTTAAAATTTAGCACTTACGGCAGGGAAAAGGAATTTGTCTTTCGATAATTCAATGGGGCTGAAGATATAGGACTGGAGCTCTGGCATCTGGCCCTGTACTGTAGTAGCAGTCGATCTTATTTTCCGGAGCAATGAATCGATCAAGGCAGCCTTTATATTCCCGGGGCGATCGATCTTCGACAATGCTGGTGCCCTTGTTTTTCAAATTCCACCAACAATGACTGCCATAGCCCGAGAAAGAATACTGTACCGTCCCGAGCTCGTAGGATTTTCATGAGGTTGGTTTTGAGTCCTGCAGCGGCAAATACCCTTCAATGAACTTGAGAGCAGAAATGCGAGGATACTCGTACATATAATCGACTTGGATCATGAATGACAGGCCTAAGAAGGATCCAACACTTCGTTAGCTCCAGTGTGGAGTCCGATTGATAGCAGAGGCGTGACCGATCGAGCCATCCGTCCGATCGAGCCAATAGAAAGTAAGAGATAGATAAGGTTTTCTCTCCTCTTCTCTTTTGACGCTGCAGAAAAGCGGTGGCTTACCGTTGTTCTCCAACTTTACTGACACTGTTCGAGAAAAGAAACCCTTCCCTTCTGCACTGAAGGCAGTCGGCTTGATAGTAGAGGTGCGAGGATTTGATCGGCATGGAACTTATATCGGCCGTCCAGTACCAGGTACACTGTACCGTACCACATGATTGGCATACTCCAGCCAACGCTTCACTCCCGTGGTAGTGGTAGCTAGTGGTAATGCTCGCATTATCCAGCCACTCGCATTATCCACTCTCTCCACGCTCAGTCAAAACAACAACAAGAGGCTACATATACATGGACAATGATGATGCACCGAATAGAGCTACCGGTATGACAACATCTGGAGCAACAAGCACCATGGTGACGGGATGTGCCTTGCAAGCTCAGTGTGTTATTATGGCGTCCTTGTCCACAGTCCCAGCAGCAGAAAGAAAACAATAACAAGCAAATGATGCCAAGATGCAAAAGCCACGTGCACGGCCTCCAGGGGTCACCACCACTTTCACTCTGTCTTGGGATTGCTCTAGCAAGAAAGCATCTGTCTCTTCGGTGGTGTTTGTTGTTTGTGGGGGATGCTGTGTGAAGGGTACCCCATGCTCTGTCGTGACAACAATCATTTGTTCCCCCTTTCACCGAATGAGACCATTACCAGGTGAAGATCGCCCCATCTCTTTTTCTTCCCATAGCCTTTTCACATCTGATTCTCTGCAAAACGTCATGGCTACTCGAATCTGTGTCAGCTTCAATAGGTGCATGAGTTAACGTGCCCATGCCAAGGCGCTCAAAAGCCTCCGTATACCTGATTGAAAAATTGGTCCTGCCACTGACTTTTCCATAGTGGAGCCCTGCCAAAAAATGTTTTAACTAGCCCCCTTTGAAACCCCCATCATTAAGTCGCGAGGAAACCTCACGGACACTACCGGTAGTAACACTACATAAGTCCTGACAGCAGCAAAATTGAATGCACGTGCTTCGGCGTTGCTTGCTTTCACCTCTTGACTAGATTTATTCAATCATGCTTTTTCACCACCACGGATCATACCGTAAATATTTAACGGCATTTACTCCCAGCTAAAACCAAAAATTACAGTAATTGAACTCAAGTCACGTGAATTCTTTTAACTTCTTTAGTAAACTAATTAGTAATTATAGCCGCTTTTTCCGGAGCGGTACTAACTTTCTTCCACCATAATAATCCCTTGAACACAAAGCGAATGGTCCACTCCAGAACCTCCATTCACGTATTCATGGTTTCAACAGACCAGCCTTTGGCGTTGACGGCTGCTTAACATTCGACGACGCCAGCGCCACAAGGAGGTGGGAGATGGAACTCACCAACAGAGTAGAGGCTGCAATGATCATCTGTATCATGACAGACCAATTCGAACTCCTGGTTCCAGGCGTCGTGGTGAATCAAGAACAGCTCCGTGTAGACGGTGTATCCAGTTTTGGGATGAACTTGCATGTTGGTGCGGTCCACATCACGGGTGTAGGTATCGCCACCACCCGATACCTGAAGCTTCACGACTTCGTCATCCGGAGTCTCGACAAGGGCTGTTTCAGCGGTGTCTGGGGTGGTACCAAAAAGCTCCTTTCCGTCCACCATGACAACGATAGCGTCCCCAGCAACAGCTTCAGTCAGGTTCCTCAATCCAAGCCTTTCCGCAAGCTTTCTTGTGATAAGCCGACGCATAAAGTTGGCATCAGGAGTGAAAATGGCATGAGGGGTTGACCTTTTAGCTTCAACCAAGCGCCTCTCATCAGGCCTCTTGCAATTATGGAAGACTTCATTGGCGTAATCAGGCTCCATGTCTTTGATGTAATGAGCCGCACCAATACAGCCAAAGGTCTCGACCCAATCCTTTGCAGTGAGGTTCCTGATACCTTTCAAAGCAGCATCTTCATCGTCCTTGTTTCCTCGAAGTGCCGGGGTTGCTCCTGTCATGGCAATGGCCATTGCGATAGTAAAGAAAAATACCTTCATCTTGTTCTTACCTTCCTTCTTTCAACTTTTTCGAAGATCGTTTTGTAAAGCTTGTGGCTTGTTTTTGTTTTTATGAGTTGCTTTTTGTGAGCATTCTTTGCCGTCAACGACTAATTTCCACCCTTCGATGCAGCGAGCGAGCTAGCTAGCAATGACCTGGATTTGGATTTGGTTCCATCGGTCTTGGATTTCTCGCTGGGAGTATGTGGAGTAGCTAGCTAGCTAATAGCTGCTACAGGTCACAGAAGCCGAGAAATCGTTTTGGGACCAGTTGCTTGGGACTTCCTACTCTGATGGGCGCAGCAAAGACCGGTGAATGGTAAGATGGACTATAGAAGTCCATACAGTTTTTGCTTTGTTGGGCCCGATGACCCAGCAACTAATGGTACTCTACGAGTGCACGACTTGCTAGAGCAATGACCTGGGTTTGGATTTGGATTTGGTTACTTGAACTTGGATGTGCGAGGGCCCGGGACAAGTGACAAAGTCCAGTTTTTCTTTTGGGCCCTTGACCGAGAATCTAATAACCATGGTACGAGCTAGCTAGCAAGGATTGATGGCCTGGGTTTGGTGGTAACTTCTTGATTTCGGATATCTTGCTGGGTGTATGACCCAAAAGCTGAAGTCTCTGCTAAAACCGTCACCAGTGTCGGACGAAGCTTGGTTGAGGTTGTACAGTAGTGCGGTGCATAGCCACTTTTTGACGCCAAAGCAAGTGACCTGGATTTGGCTTCGACATTTTATCTTGGATGCGGTATCTATCTCTTGGGCCTTTGTGTGTGAGAGTACAACTAGCTAGTCTAGCTAGCTAGCTAGTACCTTGTCTGGGAAAATACCTCGTGGAGAACCTTCTGGAGCTTCGTTTCTTGGTTCTTTTCCTTGTCCTCTCGTCCTGGCTAAAAATGCACACGCGCAAGTGAAGCATCCGTTCAAAAGAATTACTCAAAGTACACATAATTCATAATTATACAGTAGTGGTCTTGTACTGAGTACTACTAGTACTGGTACAGTATGGTTAGGCATCGTACTTTTACATGTACTCGGCACTCGGCACTTTCATTGGTCGTACATACATAGTAGCTAGTACTATTTAGTATGGGGATGAGCAAACTTGCGGATTGCCCTGCATTGTATTTGATAGCGTTTTTTGTAAAAGAGTCTGTGAAAAAGCGAATATTTGTTTTGGGCTGCAATTTTTCTATTGGATTAGATCGGATTGGATTGAATTGAATTGGATTGCATTGAATTCCAGTTTACTATACAAATAACAGTTCTATTTGGAATCCAATTCAATCCAATTCAATCTAATCCAATGCAATCTAATCCAATTGAATCTCGCTTCCCGCTAAAAGCTTCATTTTATCCTTTTTCTGACATTCTGAGTCACTCCTGTTGAGTACACTACAGGGCTATAGTGAGATTTGCCCATCCCCTATGCATACCGGTAAGTATCACACTTCAATTACTCTATTATAATGCAAGTAAGAGCTGGCTCTCATGTCGAGACTTAAAGACATAATACATTCGTACCGCACCGCTGAAATTCCGATCTTCGGTCCCGAGGAAATTTCGCTACAATTACTATTATTATTGGCTCAACCGCGGGGACAACGTAAGTTGCGCGGTAAACAAATAAATATTATAGGAAACTTTAGCCTAGGGTCTATTCAAAGGTGTTTGGTTGATGAGATATCCGTCTTTTTCCACTCCAACAGGCTGCAGAGGATTTTCAAAGGCAAGAGACATGAGTACATTAAGATCAGGTAACCGATAACAATGAGACCCTGGTCTACAACATCCAACACTGAAAATGGGGATCCTTCCTTCCTTTTTGCCACCTCCATGACTGTCTCAAGATCCATGCCGAAAGGCTGTCGACCAGCTTCAACTTCCAGACAGGTCTTTCCATGTCGGAATACCAAATTTCCGAAAAACTGCTGAGTTGCCATCTCCCAAGTGTAGTGTTGTCAAACGTGTTTGACACACGCCTCGGAGTTGCCATAGGAAAGGGCCTCGAAGATGGCCACCACCAAATTCTCGTTTATGGATCCCACTTTCCTGTTGCACCCAATAATGTCAATGGGACCAGGTGTTGGAAAGGCAGCCACAGGAGTTCCACATGCCAGTGATTCTGTAATGGTGTTCCCAAACGTATCGGTCTTGCTGGTGAAGACCACAACGTCAGCATTGGAGTAAGCTGAAGCCAAGTCGTCTCCTTTGAGGTATCCCAGAAAAACAGCATCTGGGAACATCTTCTCTAGCTGTGAGCACTGCGGTCCTTCTCCAACAACATACTTTGTACCTTTTTGTATGGGGAGCTTGAGGAACTCTTCAATCCCCTTTTCCACAGACACACGGCCAACAAACATTAGAATGGGCCCATTTTGCTTGGGGTACTTGATAGGATCCCTTTCTCGTGGATAGAAGCGATCCGTGTCAACACCACGAGACCAACGTTGAATGTCTTCAACCCCCTTTGCTCGCAGAATGTTTTCCACGGACATGGTAGGAACCATGACGGAGGATGATGGATCGTGGAACTGGGTCAATGTCCGCCAGGAAATCCACGCTGGTAGCCCCATGGATTTTTCCAAGAACTCCGCACTCATGGTGTGGAAGGCAGTAGAGAATTTCCAGCCCTTCTTCTTGCAAAGTTGCCACACCGTGTATCCCAGAAAAGCTTCCGTAGAAATGTGAATGCAATCCGGGTTGAATTCTTCAATGATGTTCCCAATCATGCTGGCCTGCAAAAAAGGGATTCCCACTTTGAAAAACCTGTCAATCCCAATCAAGGGTATCGTGAATAGTTTCAGGGTTGATGGTGTCAAGTACAGCACATCGTGCCCCCACTTGGTCAGTACTCGCTGTGTGTTGGTCAAGGAAGTGACTACCCCACTTTGTTCGACTGCCACATCGCTGACAATGACGATTCGTTTTGTTGGGGTATTCATTTGGAGCAGCGTTTGTGGTGGACTTTTCGCAACAGGCAAGAGGTTGTTTGACTCTTGAGTTCACACTTACTTTACCTTGAAGCTTGGGTTTGTGAGTGTTTTTTGGAAGAGTGCACTACGCTAAAAGCTAGTGTAAAGATCTTTCGAGTGTTTTGAGTTTGAGAGAATGAAAGTTATGAGAGAGATTAGAAAGCTATGAAAACTAATCAACGAGAGAGATCATCATCAAGGGATCGTAGATCTGGTCTCCCGCGGGAGACTATAAAGTGTGATAGAGTAGGTTGCGGTAGTAATCCTACGTATCTCCACGATCCTAAAACGGAACGCGTGGAAGATTTGTCTAGCATGGATCTAGTAGCGTGGAAGTACTCCACGCTGGCTAAATATCTAGAGCGATGTTTCATCATCAACCTAGTATGACTAGAGCGGTCATTGAGAACCCTGTCTCAAATGACTATTCACAAGAGACTCAGTCATGAGTCGAACTCAAACCCTATCTAGGATCGAGTCGCGAATAAGGCTAAGAGCCGTGTATTGCATTCGCCCCCTGACAAGGGTCACAGAAGGCGCGACAGCAGTCGGACAAGGAGAACATATGATTTAAAGTGCGGGGCACTCTGATGAGATTTGGATGTAGACATGTGCGTCGCACGATGGCAATCCTACAAGGGGATCAGGCCTTGTATGGGTGTATATACCTTATGTTCCAAGTCTGGTAGACTGTGCCGCCATTGGCGGTAGCATGTCGGAGCCGTACAGTGCCATTGTTATTTACTCGGTCTATAGTGTAAGAACCTTTGTACTTTGGCTGACCGTACTTGCGGTGCTGATACTGTTGAATCATCACGGTATCGTTGACATTGTATTGATCGTTATTTTGTTGGATTAGTCGCTGGCGACGTTCCTTGATGTACTTCCAGTTGGCTTCGAACCAGACGTTGTGAATCGCGTCACGATTGAACACGAGCTGCGCGGGCGTTGCACGCAAGGTGGTATGAATCGTGGCATTCATTGCAAAGCGAACCGCCGTGAGGACTCCATCCCAGGATCCATTCTCGAGGTCGTCTTGGCACTTGATGTTTGAACAGCGATCAAGTTGCGTATGGTTGATGAGCACGCTCGACCATAAGAGTTGGCTTGAGGGTTAACGCGTAGTGATGAACTTGCGCGAAGTCCATATTCATCCCGGAGAGTCTTTTCGACCTCTGCGCGGAACTCACATCCTCTATCCATGATAACCTCAGCAGGCCATGGATATCGAGTAAGCCACGTTTGTTCTAGGACGATGGCTACTTCGTCTGCTGCCTTGGAGCAGATCTCTGCAATCTCGAACCATCCGGTTACGGGATCAATCATTGTCAAGCAATGAAGTGTGCAGGAATTCTTTTTCTTAGGATCCCCGACGTTGTAAGGCCTATCAGGTCAATACATATCTTTCCCAAGGGATCTCCTCGAAGTCTTTGGAGCATCAATCCCAGCTTACGCGTTTGGGTTTGTTCATCTGGCAGCTCTGGCAACGCTGACATACGGCCTGCACAGTCTTGCGCAGTCCTTTCCAGGTGTTAGTGTTGGCTGATGGTTAGTTCTTGTGCGAGTCTCGCCAGGATGCATCAGCACACCATGGTACCATTCGCTAGCTTCTTCTGATAGTCTTAGGTACGACGATCTTGTCGTCTTTTGACTACTAAGTCGTAAGACTTATCCCCTCTGGGGAAAGATTGCTTCTTGTAGTCGTTTGGCTTGTCTCCTGAGGAGTTTCTTGATATCGTTGTCGTCCTTCTGACGATGTTCGATCTCGGGAACGAGAGAGGGAACTCGCTAGGGAAGTCCTCTTCGTCTGCAGCCATGGCTCACGATCTGCTGGCTCCATCTGTTCTGAAGAACCATCATTGTTGGAGATGTTAAGTCTCGACAACGATAGCGACGATGTTTGTTCGCCCTTGATGTACCGTAGTTCAGGGCCGTATTCTTCCAGAATAAAGCGCCATCGCATTACCCGATCGTATTGAAGTTCTTACATGTAGATTCTTGTGGTCGTATGTACAACGATCTTCTGTCCCAGAAGAATGTTACGAACTCTTTCAGAGTTTCTACGATACTGAGAAGTTCCTTCTCGTAACTGTGTAGCGTGTCTGAGCAGGTTGAGCTTTCCTGCTGTAGAACGCTAGGTTTTCCCTTCTGGGAAATTAACTGCACCTAGTTGAGTATCACTCGCATCCGTGTGGATAACGAATGTATCGTTGAAGTCAGGGTAAGCGAACAAGGTTTCTTTGTGATGATCTTCTTCATCTGCTAAAGGCCTTGTCGTTTTGGCTTCCCCTTTCCCTTCGTTGTTTTTGAGTCAATGAAGCGAGTGGAGCCAGTCATGTGATCGTCTAATCCACATGTTCCGATAGTAGTTCACTAGTCCAATGATTCTACGAGTTCTTTTCTGTTGTAGGAGGAGCGATATTTTGGATCGCGTCTATTTTCTTGGTTTTAGGTTGGATCCCTTCTCGAGTAATCAGTAACCTAAGTATTCAAGTCTCCTCTGTCGAAGAAGCTTGGTAGCATTGATCTTAAGTCCGGCTTCTCGAAGTCTCGGAGAACTTCATCCAACTTTTCAACGTGATCTGCCAGATCGCCGTTAGTTAGGATGAGTAATCATCAATGTATGCACGACGTATTCTAGGTCGTGCATTAGTGTTCCCATCTTCTCTTGAAGATGTCGGGACTATTACATAGGCCCATGGCAACCTCTGGTATCGTACTTTCCCCACGGGAGTACGATAGTACAGAGTTGTTTCGAGTGAGGTGACAGCTCGATGTGATAGTATCCCATGTTCAGGTCTAGACTAGTGGCTACTGAATCCGTCTAGTTCAAGAGCATGTCCTGTTATTTTTGGATAGGATAAGCTTCCGCTTAATCCTTTGTTTAGTTCCGGAAATCAGAGATGAATCGTACAGACCATCCTTTTTGGGAATGATAAAAGTTGGTGCCGCCCATTCGAACGGTTCACCTTCTTGAGTCTCCTGCTTCGCAGAGACGTTCAACCTCCATCTTAAGAGTGTTGTATGGACACGTGAATAGGTAAGCCCTAGCGTGATAGGGTTTAAGCGTCAGGGAGGAGTTCTACTTCGTATCGTCCATCTGCCACTTTCCTAGAATGCCATCGAATAGGTCAGAGTAATTCGTTAATAAGGAATGAAGCTTTTCCTGCTCTTCCTTATTCAACTGTTTTTGACTTTGCAAACCTGCTTTAAGTCAGCTTGTTCGTATTTCGCATCAAGAATCTTTCTTTAGACGATCTGCACTGTCTCAACAGCAGTAGGATCAGGAATGAAGAAATTCTCTTCTTCATTGGTGTCGCTATCTTTCATAGGAATAGATGGCCGTCCCACTCCATTGACATGGTAGTGAAATCGAACTTAAATCCTAAATCGGAGAGAATGTCTCGACCTATGATCATGTCATACGCCCCCAAGCTTTGGTGACGTGTAAATTCCATCGATAATTCTATCATCGTGGAATTCAGGAATCATGAATGCACCTTTGCACTTCGTCTGGTGTTTAATCTCTTCGCGGTAGTCCACATGGTGGCCCCCAAGATCCTTCATGCGTAATTTCTTAGCATGAGTTTGAGCAATCAAAGTTCCGGATGCTCCTCCTGTATCCAGTAAGCAACGGTGTAACGGGTTTTGGTTTCCTTTTTTCGCTTGTTAAATCTAACATAGACGATAGGTTGAGGTTCTTGTCTTGCATCGTTAGAGGTGGTTGGCCACGGACGAGGTTAACATGCTAAATAGATCATCAGAGTCTAGTTTAGCAGCTTCTAGGCAATATCTAATTTGCCTAGAGTTCATCGGTTGCAAACATTCTTGTTACTATTAGTGAGATATCTTCATCACTTTGGTATGAAGAAATCGGAACATGTTCCGTTGAGTCATCATCCTGCCTAATCCTCAGATAGAGATTTCTCCATCCAATGATTGAAATCGATAGAGGATTGTCCTCTTATCAGAGTCTTCTTATTTCGCTTGGCAACATGGTTTGCAAGTTTGCAGGTGTGTGGCACGAGTTCGATCGATCTCGTGTTCTTCGTCATTGTCGACCGAGAGGAAGAATGGGTTTGTCACGCAACTGTTTCTCTT